CTCAGTCTAGTTCATGAAATTATTGTAAAGAATAAATGAGGAGGGGAACATGAAACTGTTTTGAAGGGTGAACCATAAATATCAGATGTAATTTTATGAAATACCATATTTTGCTCTTTTAGTCTCTCTACAGATTGAGAACTGGAAATATTCTAAAAATTATTTAGTCTACAAATTAAGAATATTCCTGACTATATATTCAATATATTTTTAAGCATTCCTGAGTGATTATTTTGATTTGGAGGAATATCAAAAGTATTTTATTCCTGTACCTTACCTACATCATGGTGTGTAAATTTAATGCTTGAAGGAATGGAGTTCTAAAAAATTATTAATATTAATAGGAAGTCAGATCTATGAGGTACTTTAGTATAACTACATCCTTTTCTGCTAACATGCTGCCATCAGTTATAAAATTTTAAAAAATGAGCTCTAGAGATTAAAGTAGTTTACCTAAAGTAAATCAAATGTAAACAAGAATGTATATCGACTGAGTCAAGGGAAATACCCTTTATCGATAATTATCCCATAGTTTCTTGATAGTGGACATTTAAAATAGATATAAAAAGCACATATACCAATTTCAAGTAATAACATGGTGTTTTTTATTTACCAGATTAGAATGTTATCTTAGATTCTAAGGACAAAACTGGTTAAGAGCACAAAGAATCCCTCAGATCAGCATGTTGAAGAAAAATAAATACTTTAAATGGGAAAGGCTAAAACAATAAAAATAAAATAAGGAAAACTAAAATGGGAAACAAAGATGTTTAAACTTTTATCTACTAATGCAACAATGGCTTAAAGCACAGTTATGTCTTCCTTCATAGTTCTTTGTTTGAAGACCATAAACCATGGGGAATTGTTGATTATGTCTTTAAGAGGGAAGATGGAGAAAAATGTATTCTCACACTTAGAATTTATAAACAGTTTGATTATTCAGCCTATTTTGCTTTGACAGACTGAACAACCCAGTAACTAGGTATTGGATTTCACACGATGCCAAATGTAATAAATCTGGATTTATTTAATATCATTAACACTTTTGTGTGAATAAAAAGGGAAGGTTGAAAAACAAACTATCTTGTGTACAGAGGACCATTTTTTTGTAAGTGAGTGTCATGTTAACAATAGAAGCTGTCTTGTAAAATAGCCATTTACTCGGGGCAAGTAACTATTTATGTCACCAGGATATAAAGCATTCTCATCTCACTCCTTTTACTACACGTGTAACTCCTGTGGAATGGGAAGGTGAATTGTTCAGGGCTGTTAAATTTCGTAATTGGAAGGCTGTATTAAATTCTTCCTAATGATGCTTACAGCTATATGATGATTTACTAAAAAGAAAGGAGAGAAGAATGAAAAATACCCTACCTTTTACAATGACTAGTCTGTGGCTCCCGAATTCTGTAGATCAGTGCTTTTGCATAAGCAAATGAAGACCTGTCACTGATGTCATACACAATAACAAACCCATCTGCCCAGTGAAGCTCACTCGTGAGGGAGAATTTTGCTTTCTGTGGCTGAAAATAAACCAAGTACATTGAAAGTGGTGGGTTCTGACACCTGTACTTCATACTTTAAACAGTTGGTCGAGCACCATTTCACCTGGAAGAGATTTCAATAAGCCAAATACTGATATTTTCTAACATGTAAGGGTTTCTTTTCTTGATTTCTTTCTTATCACCCTCTTTCTTTAATTAAGAGTGATCACATTTTAAAGTATAAAGAGGAATTATAATAAAGTTATATCTAACTCATTTTACAACTTTTTAATAAGAAAATATCTCCACTTTTTCTGAAAATTTGATAAGCCATGATAATTGCCCTTTGAATTAATATCCACATACTTGTTTTGCAAAGAGAAAATATTTTCTGTGTTACAAATGGAATTATATAT